CCTCAATTAAGACACTATAGAAGAATTGCAAAGAATTGCTAATGAACTAATTTGGAGACGTGGAAACATTCAAAAGCAGTTCCTGGATTGAGGGCAATTAACCCCAGGCATTTTAGATAAGCCACTTCACTCCCTTAGCCCTTCTCTTTATACAAAAAGAAAATGTGAGCTTAAAGTGAAAGTCCACCCCCAAAAATGAGACAGTTTAATCAATATTTTGAGATAAATATCTGCTGACCATGAATAGGTACCTGAACTTGAATGCTTGTGCTTCTATGTGTTGCTAAGGGGACTGAGATATCATCTGGAAAAGATCCCATTTACTCATAAAACTCTACTTTATTCTTTCCACCCCATCTGCACTCCTCCACTGATTTTGTCCTGCGTTTAATACAAGTGACATGACTCAGTGTGAGCTGAATATGAGCCATCAGAAGAGTGGTGCTCATGACGACAATACTGAACACAGAAGCAAAGTAATTAAAGCTGAAATATAAGTAAAATAAAAATGTCGTTTTGAGACTGAGACTTAAAAAGACATTTGACAGGGGGCGATACCACGTTCAGTCATTTACTGTTTAGGTCAATTCACTATTGCTAAAGAAAACTATGAGTTGATTTGATGCAACTGCTTTGGATGAAAATAATTTCTTTTACTAGCAATTATTTCTACATCAGCTGACTTAATGGGTGCTTTTCCATACTGTTTGCTTAGATTTAGGAAACAGAAGGCAGCAAAAGTGACAGGTTTGGAAAAAGGTTTTGGTTTGGTTTAAAAAGTCCATGTTCACACCATGACACTACAGCAAAATGGCACCCAGTACAGTTAAAAAACATGCCAAGGAGTCCTGCACAAGCATCGGAAGTGGGCCGTTTTCACCATTGCCATGACCCAGGGCCATGTCCAAGCAATATCTTGCACGTACTTCTTTGATGTCAACAGCTTTGACAAAATTAATAATAACAATAATAATAATAAATTTTTACATATCTGACTTAATACTGTATGTCTGTTTAAATATGTATGCATATAGATATCCCAGCATATACTTTCAAGCTGTATGATTTGATATACATGCAGAGGAACTTTGTAAATGAGTGCTGGTTAGTTCTATAAAGACCTTGGACAATGGAAAAAGTGGTTCATCTTTTTACATAATCCAGTACAGATGGTCCTTATGTGCTTTAACATGTTTATGCTCAAATTGGGCAGCAAGTTACATTGTGTACTGCCAATCATCACACAGCTTTGGGCTGTTGTTTGGGGCTTAATGCACAGTGCCCACATAAAGTGTTCACACAGGGATGAATCAAATTTGAGAACTATTTTTAAAGAATGCTGGCATTCCTACTTAGTGTTATATATACAAAGTTTAGCGTATGGGAAGAAAGACTAATAGAGAGAAATACGATTTGCTTTTTGAAAATAAAGCCCGATGACATGCAAACTTAAGATAGTTTTGTTTTTTCTATAATGGTAGAAAATTAATTAGCAAGCACATTAAATTGTTGTGACAGTTGTTTGGCCTACTCCTTAAATTACAGGTGAATCCCATTCCCCATCCCATCTATCGAATCATGTGTATTGTATTTCTTCTACTCCCTCCTTTCTCCCTCGCTTCTGTCTTTTGTTCTGCTGGTCCTGGGAGGACTGTGGGAACAGCTTGTCACTGACTTGTTAAACCCGATCAAGACAAAATAGTCCTACTACATACAGCACATTTTCCTGCAATGACAACTCATCCCAACAGAATTGTTAACTGTTGAAAAGTTTCCAACACCAACCTCTGCTTCCCCTTTTGCTTTTTGTTTTTTTAAAGAAGTGATCACAGGATCAGCCTTACTTCATCCACTCAAATTCTCTGCAGCTTGAAGCGTTACAAAATACTTTCTATAGAGAACTATGGTGAGAGACTTGGTTTAAGACACCAAGGGGATTATTTCATCCTTCTGTTTAGCCGAGTGGTACTTCAGGTTTTTCAACAGCAAGTTAAAGTCTCTTGACAGCTGCTCACATTGATGGACAGCCTGCTGATCAATAAGCATTCTCAAGCACACTCAGTGGCTGACTGTAGTATTTAACTACCCTTCAAGTGGTTAAACACGAATAATGGTGACGTTCATGCATTTTTTAGGCATATTGATTTCAGAATACTCACATTAACGTCCTATTTCCAATAAGAAAGCCACATAATATAAATCGGTGGAAGCATTTCAAGTGTTGGATCCAGATTTATTGCCTTTACATTAGTGGCTATGTATTACAGCACCATGTAACTTCAGTAAATAAATATATACATATAAGAAACTACATTTTTTTTCAACTTTTCTTTGCTGTCTTATTTTATTCTTCAATTTAAAAAATCTCGTTTAAGAATATTAAAAGTATTGTTTACATAAATTGTGGTAAGCATACACAAGCGGAAAAATAGTATTAGTATTTTTTTTTATACTTTGCAAACACACATTGCCTATCACAAGTGCAAATTTGTTATTCAGATTTGGCCTCATAAACCCAAATAAATGCATGACATCCCCAAAACAGAACAATAAAATGTGATTTGTTCTATCAGTTGCTGGGTTTGAAATGACAGCATTTGGTTTTCTTAATGAGATTGTATTATTTTCAAATGAAAACAATGTGCCTTAATGTCTGAGAGCCGGAAAAACAATTATACAGCTGCTTCCAATGCGCAAGGAAGAGGCATGCCAGCCAGCATCTCTCAATACAGATTAAGCATGTAAGATAGTTTAAGAAACTCATGTTTTTAAATGTATCCATCGTGCTTTTCATCATCCTTCTAATGTCTTCCAGAATAGGTTATGCTAAGCATTGTGAAATCCTTCATGGCTTTGCTTTCCTTGGCCGTGTGATTTGACTATATGGGTCCAGATGTTCAGTGGCGTCAGTCAAAATCAGTACATTGGAAATCTTTGTCCAGCAGGTGTACAAAGCTTTGAATCAGAGGTGATGAGAGACAGAGCCGAGACGAAGACAAGATTTCTATATTTCAGTAAAGTTAAAGCACACCACGGCCACACAGCTGCCATAAAAGTACATTAACGCTGAATTTTATATATGCACTTTGATGTGTTTGCTATTTTCCGGATAGTACATTAGATGACTCTTTGTTCATCGTGTTTCTGTTAATTGGGCAATAGCGAGTCCATTAAAACTGCGATTCTCTATAACTAATTGCAGTGCACTCGAGCCACCCTTTGAGGCTCTCCTGTTCATCAGCATAACACAGGTGTGAATGCAACACGTGACGCATCTGTGGCCATTTAGGTGACTGCTCGCGGCACTAACACACACACGCACTCACATGAGTAATGAGCAGCGTATGTGCATATACTGTGAGTCGTGCATGTCAGAAGCAATGCGAATAGGAATAATTAACGCATGTAGTGGATGTTTTTGTTGTCACCCTACTTGTTTTTGGCACATGCAATCAGATGGGATTTAAGGATTTATCACGTTCCTGGAGCATTTACATGAGTCACTGATGTATTATTCTCTCATAGCCGTGCAAAGCCATGTCTGATAGCTGTCACTAGATGACAACAGCCTCTCTTCCGTCTCTTACTTAGTTTTTTCATTTCTCTGCAGAGCCTTCCCACTTTATATGAAACCTCTCTGCATTTTAGCATTTTTTTTTCAGTTGCTACATGAGCCACATTGTTAAATAATCCAAATATAGTATGTTTCCCAAACCTAAACTAGTACCACTTGATACATTTTAATTGGCAGGTAGGGTTCAGGGTGGCATCATTCACTCGTGTGTAGTCTCTTTGTCTCTGAATCAGAAAACACTAAAAAATCTTCATGGTGATTCGATCAAATTCACTATAGAGGAAGAAGAAAGAGTTACCTGTGTTACCTGCATGTTGGATGATCTTGGGAAGGGTGCTGGTTGGTTTAGGTCTATGAAACTGACTTCAGCTTTACTTCCTGTGGGCAGATGACCTGTTAATAGGCAAACACATAAATACACAGAACCAGAGTGACTTTAAAAACTACTTCCCCAGTAGATGTCAGTAAAACATTCTCATCCTCTGTGTGTTTTTCCAGAAATCTTGGCTGTGTGGCAGATTTTTTTTTTTTGAGAAATACTGAATAACATCAAATCACTCCAAGACTTTAATAGCAGCAGTCCAGTTCAGAAAATGTAATGTTGTAATAAATCAGGCAGAAATTCAGCTTTCAAACAAGTGCTAAGCGGTTAAATCTGATAAGCGCCAGTCAGTTATGATAAAAGGAGTCATTCCGCTGTGAGAGCAGAAGGGGGGAAACTAAGTCCTTACAATGTATACAACTTGACACAAAGCAGGTCCTGTTGGCCACGTGTTTAGATAATCAACAGGTTTCCTGCAAAGACACGTATGCATAGACAGAAATACATGATGCAGGTCTGAGAGCCATTCAGTTCTTCTTTTGTTTGAATTTAGATTTCTTTTCAAAAGTACTTGAATAATTAAAGATTGTTTCTTAATTAAAAGTACACTAAAATCCACGTCGATGAAAAGATTGAATTTTGCAGACGCAAAAGGTGAGCAAGCTTTGCTTTTTTAAATTTATTATCGTTTATATTCGCTCTCCTTGGTGCTGAATCTATAAGTCTACGCGAAGCTCTCACTAAGGCTTTTTTTTTTAAATGGGAAGAACTATATAGGCTATAAGAGAAAAGCCACGAGCAAAATTCTGTCTTTTCAATCAAAATGACAGTGATTAATACACCCCAGCCAATTAAAATATAATCTGAAGAAAAAATCCAATGTCGTTAAAAATATACTAACGGGCTAAATGAGCTGATTTGCCGCGGAAAATCTGTGGCAAGCGTGTGTGATTCTCCTGGCATGGGGTTTAATTAGTGTACCGACGAACAGCACTCTTTCAAGCTGCGGGTGATTTCTGTTTTAAATCACGTGTTGCTGCACTAAACTCAGGCTGGTTTCCCTGAATCTGAAAGGCAAATAACGACTGTCGTTACCGTCAAAGAGAAGCCAGCCTACTTCTTACGGCTCTCTCTCCCTTTCTCTCGCCGTCTTGCTCACGCACCCCCACCCCCTCTCCACTTTCTCCTGTGCAGCGCGTTTTGTCTCCAAAGCCCGTCTTCAGAAGCATGTCCTCAGACATGCAACAGCGATGCGATGAAGCGGACCAAAAAGAAGCCACCGGCGTGACAACATAAAAGCAGGTAAGCTGCTGACTGAATATTGGCCCCTTTATGATCAATAGTCTGTGATTTCTGAGAGGAACCAAAGGATTCGATATTTTATCTGAAGCTGTCAGACAAGAAGCGCTTGTTCTTTCAGTAAAGGGGGTTTATTAAGCTGTCTTGCTCAAGGACAGTCCGAAAGGAGGAACTAGTTGTGGTCAGGAGTTGAACCTTGGACTTTTTTTCTTTCTTTCTTTCTTTTTTTTTTAGTATGGCTATCTATCTATATCCGCCAGGTTGCTCACACAGCCACATCAACACCTGCATATACATTCAATATGTGGAAACTCGATTGTCACGGTGCTACTCCGAGTGGGGTTTATTCTGTTTTCAAACATTTCAGCGCTGTTTTGGTTTCATGGAGTGGCAAAAGTACATAACTCCTGTTTCACGTAATTCAGCTCAGAGAAAACATCCCGATCCTCGATGACTATTGAAAAATATTTTTACACCTTATATTCGAACTAGAAAGAGCCCGTCTAATATCTACTGCTTTGGAAGCTATGCGCAATGAACACAAAGACATTTCAACAGCTCCCTGTGCCAACATCGGTGTCTTTGCGCATCTTAGATGGAGCAAGGGGAACTTTGTGGTTCTGATATACTTTTTTTGACAACCCCAGAAGCGGAAACAATTTCAGAGTCATGGACCGCTATACCTTATTAATTATGTCAGTATTAAACGATCACACGACCATTGCGCGCATTTTTTTTTTATCAAGTATTCAAGACGTTAAATCCTCATTTCACCGGACATTACTAATTCCAGCAATCTGTTTGTGGATCATTTCTAAAAGGAAGAGCCAATTGACTTACTCGAACCATAATGTGTGCTTAAAGGACTCCAGTGTGACTTGGATAAAAGCGCTCCGCATCGTTTCATTCAAGTCTGGATAAAATTGCTGGTCTAATTTCTGCAGTAGGACGCAAATAATTCCCAATGGTGAGAAAACTCGCCTTTTGACAATTCCAACGTGCTGAAAGCTTATGTATACAGATCTGTGAAAGTCTATAATTGTCCAAAAGCGGTTTTCTCTCGTCTCATTAATTCGATAAAACCATTCTTGATTTCAGCAAGCTTTTTCGCCACATGTTCACATTCCCCGTGTTTTCAACAGCCATCGCAATAAAAAAAAAGCATTTTTTTTTTCATATTTGCACTGAGATCTACCGCCACCTTTTACAATGAGATTAAGAGACGATTTGGCGTCGAAGCCGCACCAGAGGTGCGTAAAAGCGCAACGCAACAGAACAGATTTGAGACTGCGTGTTTCTGTCGGATTTTATAACCACGGGTCTTATAGTTGAGATGTTTTACTTCTAGATTGGATCTTCCAGTCATGTTTAACGACCGATAGAGAGGCTTTTGCCACTAAATCGAACGGGGGGCTCAAAGGTAAACCTGTTTCTGTTTCAAGTATTTAGATTTTTTTTTATATTCGTTTATATCAAACAGCGTTTGGCTACAAAATCTATTGTTTTTTCTAATCTGCACGACAGCAAAATTAACCGCAGTCACAGTCGTGTGACTGGAAAGGAGACCAAAAAAGCCCAACAAAAACTAACAAACAACAACAACAAAATGCACTCTACTCCTACTGTATCGTTCGTTCGGCTAGATTAATCATCGCAGTTGGACGAGCCTTGTGGTTCGCTGTGATGATTGGAGATTAGGTTGTAGTTTAGGGTCATTTAACTTCACTGAAAAGTTACAGCCAGAGAAGAGGGAGAAGAGGTTTTCTTGGAAATGGGGCAGGTGTGTGTGTGTGTGTGTGTGTGTGTGTGTGTGTGTGTGTGTGTGTGTGTGTGTGGGTGGGTGGGGGGTTCCTCAGTTGTTACAGTGGGGAGAAAATCAGGTTTCGCCAAGACTGGCGGCTAATTCTGACTAAGAGAAGAGGAAACATATGGTCTCTCTGTGTTCCTCTTACCTTGATTTTAAGGACTTTATAATGAGGCTAAGTACATTTTGCTTGTGCGTATTCGTTTCTTTTTTTCTTAAATATTTAGTCTGATGCAGTTCACCAACATCTGTGCTGATATCTGATATTTTCAGCATTGTGTTGTACAGTTAACTGCTGTGGCTTGACCTTGAATACGTTTTGATTCCTGACTGTAACTGGCTTTGTTTAAAGAGCTGACGAGTAAACAACAAAGACGTGGTGTTGCCTTAGTACCTCCTATCCACGCGGAACGTTAACACGATGCTGGTTTTGTTCTTGTAAAATCATTATTAATTAATGTGACATTTGATTTAGTTTCTTGCCAGAAAAAAAGGATTTCCATTTGGTGTGGAATCCGATTCGCGCCGTTTTCATCTTTGGAATTGCACTACAGGGGAACTAGCCCAGTTTTCAGTGTGACGAATAGTGTTCATTTGGCAAAACTCTTAAAACATGATGAAGTCAAAAGGAAACCAATATCAAAAACGTCAACAGGTTTGTGCTTGAGACAAAAACATGATTTTTTTTTCCTGAAAATGTTTAATATTGCTGTATGTGAATGTGCAGATAAAGTTGTTGTCTACTTATTATGTTTTTATGGGGAAAAAGCAACTAAAGGCAAAAAATAAATTCCATTAGGTGTAGAAAAATCACTCAACAGATTCACAGGACCTCTAAAAACACAAATGCAAAAGATAATAATCACTGAAAATCAAATCCAAACCTGGATCAGTCATATTTATTACATAATAGCATTATAAAAGGTGATATTTGTGTACACTTGGTAAAGTAGCTTAACTGTTGTAGCTGTATAAAGTGCGACTGTTTCACTGTGCTACCCACGTCTTTTTCACAACTCCAACCACTTTTTAAGTTCCCAAGGCTTTTATGGTGTCCCTTTGTTCCTTCCGTTCTGTAGCAATGAAAATTTTTCTCTAAGCAAGTATTCGTTGTAACTTTCAGCAACTAGTTGCTGTCCATTTCCACTTAAGACCATGTCTGATACCATGATGCTGATAGGTGAGATTTACATGAACTGTGAGTTATTCATTTTTGATCTATTAGATTTTTTTTAAAGTTATTTATAATTTCATGAAGCTCGCTGAGGTCTACTAAGATCAGATGTGTAGCTTGCCTTAATTTAAACCCTTTTCTTTAACCCTACTGCTATTCCATGAAATATGCAGATGACAGAGTGTCAGCATCTGGTGTCCATGAGCTTGACTGATGTAGTAAATGATGACATGCATTGATTTACATATCACCCTGCAGTTCTGCATGAATATTGCTTTGTTGTTGATGCAGATGAGTGTGAATGTGTGACAAATATTTAATAGATTAAGTTTCTGGGATTTAAGAACCATCACCTTTTGCTTTGCTTTTGTGTTTAAAAGTGATCTTTATTCCTCATGTGTATAAAACACGCTAATGAAAGCTCTCATTCTTGTTTGATGTCTTTCACGTTGAAATCATGACGATTTTAACCAAAACCGTGCTTCATAACAGTGAGACATGCATGCACGTACACTCAAATGAAATGGAATGAATCAGTCTTTCTCGGTCACATTCACACGAAGGACGGAGAGCGAAGCGATTGAAGGAGGAGGCTCATGTCAACGCTGCTACCTTCAGTGAAGGCACATTGCACACATATTGCTAAATCTGTGCTTTTGGCAGCATTGGAAACAGTGTTACAGACAAGGTTGCTTTTGTAAATAGTTAAATTTAGCCAGTGGGGTGCCTCTTTGCATGGACATAAGCTTCTCAGTTGTAGAGAGGCTGCACAGTGCACATTAGTGAATCTGTGTATCTGGCACACACAGAAAGGAATGTCTAATTATCACGCTTTCAGCCGCAGTAGGGTCCTCTATTTGCACTGAGCTCCTGCTCTAATCGCTGTCTTTTTGTTGTCATTACACACTTATTTATTTTATTTTTTATGCAGTTAGAATGTTATTTTTGCTCCATGTGGATGAGCCGGAAAGTACGTGTGGCATCGGCTGGGTGTTGAAGGAAGCAATTGAACAGAAGCAAAAGAATGGGCTCAACTGATCTGTGGAATTTTTCTGAAAGAGATGAAAAGAGATGAAGGGGTTTTACATAACAGTGAGCATGTTGTATACAAGTACAGAAATATATGCAGGGATATGAGGTTATGCGAATGAAAAGAGTGACGGATGAGGATGTCATACATACATTGACTCATACATATATAAACGTCGTTTCATAAGCCTAAATATGCATATATCCTCAGTCAGAGCGTGCAGATTTTCATACGTTGAAGCTGATTCGGCCAGTGGAACAAATGACCAATGTACCATTTAGTTGGACTGCTTCTCAGATGATCAGCGACTGCAGAGCTTTGCAATATGAAGTGGCTCTAAACCACTGCACGAAGTGGCATTGATTGGACAGCATGAGAGGAGGGAGATTCCTCCTTAAGGTCATTATCAAGCAGACAGAGAGAGTTAGACGAAACAAACCAGTGTAATTGCATTTGTAACAAAAGACTTGGAATCAATGGACTAAGCACTACATACAGCAGTTGGTCAGCGTATTTCATCAACATTCAAATGGATCCAGTCTCACTGTAATTGCTTATAAAATCTATGCTACGAAATTAGTTCAGCAGTTCTCTATGATGTAGTCTGCTCTCTTATATGTCGTGATTCAGAATGTGTCTGACAAACCAGAAACTTTTTAACACTTTATAACATTTAATGAATTTTGACAGATAATTATTTATACATAATATTGCTACACACATACACATTAACATTTGATGATGTATTAACAGGGACTATTAAGCTTCATGCTCTTCCAGACATCTACATGTACAGTCTAAGTGCACAAAAAACTAAGTACAGCCTTACTGCATCGATAGAAATCAAGAGGGGAATTGGCAACCAGGTGTAAGAAAAGTGTAAGACTTCTTGGACAAACTTCTTTCGACAGATGAGACAAAAGTGGGGATATTTATCCATAACAGACAGTGCATCAGCACAAACACCTCATACTGCCGGGCATGGTGGTGGAGGG